GGGGCCCAGCTTTCATGTCTCTTCTGGGTTTAGGGGCCCCTGGCTCTGTGGGGTTCAGGTCCCTGGGCTCACTGGTTCAGCCTGTCTCCCTGTCTGCCTGACCCTGGGGTCTCTCTTGAGTCTTTGTCTCTGGTCGTTTGGGCCCCTGTCTTTCTCTGAGTCCGCCTGTCTCCTCCCCTTACTTCTCACTTTCTCAGTGCTCACTGAAGTGGGCAAATGCAGACAGAGGTGCCAGCCTCCACTGCCCCCTAAGAAGCCCCTAACCCCACAGCTTTCTCCATGCCCCGGAGTGGTGGGGGAGAGGGCAGAGAGGCGGTGCCCCGGCTGCCTGGCTCGGGGCTGGCACTTGCCGATGGGCTCAGCGCACCCCCACCCCACCCCCCACCCCCGCTTCCAGGCTCAGTCTGGATACCTTCCCGGTTCTCATGGTCTCCTGACTTGAGTGGGGAGTGGAGGGGGAGCCTCGTGCAATACAAGCAAGAAAGAAGGGGAACGGACCGGCAAAGGAGTCAGATAATGTGTCTGTCCTTTCCCCACACTCGAATGAGTGACAGAAACCAGGCTCCTGCTCACCTAGGTGGCCTGCTTGCCACCCAGGCTCCCAGCCACTCTCACACATGCTCTGTGCACACACTGCTCGGCACCCGCTTGTGCACACTCACTTCCCTGTTCGTATGCAGTTTCCACGTAAACTCACGTACATGTGAATGGACATCTATCCAAAGATGTTCTCTTCTCTCAGTCACGTTCATACAGCACAAATTTACTTACTACATATGCAGTTACCACTTTTACGTATTTCCTAAGAGTGATCCGGAGGCACGCACATACTCGTGCACATGTGAACTCACACATACGAATATATGAATGTACTCATACCTCTAGTCAAACATACATACACTCAGATGCACTCGCGTTTTCACACATTTTCACATACACGCGAAGTAAGTTCATTTCCATGCGCCTGTGCACAGCCCGACACACACCGATGAGTACAAACGCACACTCCTGTTCCGACTCGATTCTGTCCGCTTCTTGGCCCCCGCTCTGCATGATGATTTCAGCAGATGCCTGAGTCCTGGTCTTCGGCCTCAGGACTGGGGAGGGAGTTCCGGGCGGAGACTTGCTGTCGGCTTCCAGGAAGGAGCAGAGCCTGGGGAGGTGGAGCCCTCTTCCCTGGGTTCCAGGGAAATGAGATCTTAGTGCAGCTGCCAAAGGTGATGGTGGCGCTTCTACCCTCATCCCCTCCGGGTTACTCTGGGGAATGTCTAAAGCCGCATGGTTTCTTAGAGGTTGGTGGCATGCCTGTGTAGGCTCCTTTAGGCCTGATTGATTGGGTATGGTGAGGCCAGGAATTGTCATGGAAACACGCATGAGCCTGTATCCACCTCTGGAAGGCGGGAGACCCCAGAGGGCACCTGTGGGCTCCCTAAAAGCTCTGGGTTTCTTGTTTGGTCAGCTCCACCCTTGCTGCCTCTCTGTCTGGGAGAAACTGAGGCCCAGCTGGGGGAGGCTGGGCACTGCCTGGCCTTGGCTCTTTATTCCCTAATTGCCATCTGAGTTGCTGCTGACTCTGTCCCTGAGGTTGCCTGTGCCCAAACTGCCCTCTAATGAGGCCACCTGTCCTAGGGGACCAGGGGCCTCCTAAACTTGAGTCCTAGCCTCCATGAGGGATGCAGGTTTAGGCTGGGGCCTGGGCCTCTGCTGTTAAGGGCCCTGCGTAACCACCAGGCCTCACGTCCCATCATCATCTTTGCTTGTAGAGTCAGTCCTTAGCCCTGTTCAGACCAGAGTTGGGCAGTGGCCTGGGTCCCAGGAAGAAGTCAGGTTCATGCTAGTGCTTGGAGGGGGAAGTTGCGGGCAATCAGGGGGCTGTTTGTCCTGGGACGCGGGGTCAGGAGAGGGACTCAGGGACTCGGATAGGGAGGGACCTCAAGGTGAAGGGACTCTTACACCCCTGCCCTGCTCACAGGTTCCCCTGGAGGCCCTTGGCCAGGCCTGAGCCCCTGTCGCCATGGCCATTGTGCAGACTCTGCCAGTGCCACTGGAGCCCACTCCTGAGGCCACCACTGCCCCACAACCTCCAGCCATGGGCAGCGTGAGCAGCCTCATCTCAGGCCGGCCCTGCCCTGGGGGGCCAGCTCCTCCCCGCCACCACGGACCCTCTGGGCCCACCTTCTTCCGCCAGCAGGATGGCCTGCTACGGGGTGGCTATGAGGCACAGGAGCCACTGTGCCCAGCTGTGCCCCCTAGGAAGGCCGTCCCTGGTACCAGCTTCACCTACATCAACGAGGACTTCCGGACAGAGTCACCCCCCAGCCCGAGCAGTGACCTTGAGGATGCCCGAGAGCAGCGGGCACGCAATGCCCATCTCCGCGGCCCCCCACCCAAGCTCATCCCTGTCTCTGGAAAGCTGGAGAAGGTGAGGACCAGCCCTTCCTTTGGGGCCTGGGTGGAATCAGGAGCCCCTGAGGAAGCCGGAATTTGAGGGTCGATTCAGAGGAAAGAATGTGGGCTCCCGATTCACCAGACCTGGGTTCTAATCCCAGCTCTGCCTCCTTCTAGCCGCATGACCTTAGGAAAATCACTTAACCTTTCTGAGCCAAAGTTTCTGCATCTGTAAAATGGAGGTAATAGGTTAGCTCTCATGTGATCGTTGTGAGCATTCGCTCAAATAACGTACGTAAGGGTTTAGCCTAGTACCTGTCACATAACGTACTCAATAAATGTCAGCTGCTCAAATTACTGTTACTGCACAACAACTACATGTCTGACGTTGAACGAGGTCTTTGACTTTGCTGAGCCTCCGCTTCCTCGTCTGTAATATGGGGATACTGATGATATTTTACTTGTATGGCCGTTGTAATGATTAGAGATGAACCTTTTAAATTGCTTGATGTAGAGGACATCAGGAGGCCCTCAGCCGGTGGTAGCATTTATTATTAACATGTGGGGATCGGGACCCCAGATGGGAGGGCAGGGAGTATGATAAGGGCTTTGAAAGATTGGGCAGCTGATCCCCAGTGTCCCATGGCACCTCATTTCAGAACATGGAGAAAATCCTGATCCGCCCAACAGCCTTCAAGCCAGTGCTGCCCAAACCTCGAGGGGCACCATCCCTACCTAGCTTCCTGGGTCCTCGGGCCGCCGGACTGTCTGGGAGCCAGGGCAGCCTAACACAGCTGTTTGGGGGCCCTGCCTCGTCCTCCTCTTCCTCCTCCTCCTCGGCTGCTGACAAACCCCTGGCACTGAGTGGCTGGGCCAGTGGCTGCCCATCGGGGACACTGTCTGACTCCGGCCGAAATTCACTGTCCAGCCTGCCCACCTACAGCACCGGGGGTGCAGAGCCAGCCAACGGCTCCCCAGGCGGGCACCTGCCCTCCCACGGCCCCGGGCGGGGGGCACTGCCGGGTCCAGCCCGAGGGGCCCCTACTGGGCCCTCCCACTCGGACAGTGGTCGGTCTTCCTCCAGCAAGAGCACAGGCTCCCTGGGAGGCCGTGTGGCTGGGGGGCTCTTGGGCAGCGGTGCCCGGGCCTCCCCTGACAGCGGCTCCTGTGGGGAGCGCTCTCCGCCCCCGCCCCCACCCCCGCCACCCCCTTCGGATGAGGCCCTGCTGCACTGTGTCCTGGAAGGAAAGCTCCGAGACCGTGAGGCAGAGCTGCAGCAGCTGCGGGACAGTCTGGACGAGAGTGAGGTGACCATGTGTCAGGTGTGGTCAGCAGCGATAATGGGGGTGGCATGGCAGGACATCCAGAGGTGCTGGGGAGTCCGAGGAGCATTTCTGTTTGTGCTGGGTGGGGGGGGCGGTCCCCAGCCCAGCTGTCCGGCGTAACCTGCAGAGTGGTAAGGAATCGAAGCCAGCACCACCGTCTGCTGTCTTTCAGACTTGAGCAGGATACTTAATGGTACTGAGCCTCGGTTTCCTCATCTATAAATGGAGATATTTATCATGAGGATGAAGTAAGGCAAAGGCTGTAAAGTGCTTAGAATAAACGCCTGGCACCTAGAAACTCCTACGGAAGCGCTTGCTATTATGGATATTGTTTCTAGCGTCCTAAAAGTGGTTGTGATTATTGTCGCGATCATTATCCCGGGGCAGCGGAGCCTGCCGTCCCTGAGCCCAGCCACTGGGCCGCCAGAGCAGTCGGTGACCGGGGAGTTGTGGGCGGGCGGGGCTCGGGGTCCGGGGTGGGGGGGAGCCGCCAGGACCCAGGGCCGCCTTGTCGTCCCCAGGCTTACGAGGACCGGCAGCGGCACTGGCCGCGGGAGCGCGAGGCCCTGCGGGAGGACGGTGCGGCCCAGGCACAGCGGGCACAGCGGGCCCAACAGCTGCTGCAGCTGCAGGTATTCCAGCTGCAGCAGGAGAAGCGGCAGCTGCAGGACGACTTTGCACAGCTGCTGCAGGAACGGGAGCAGCTGGAGCGGCGCTGCGCCACCTTCGAGCGGGAGCAGCGGGAGCTCGGGCCGAGGCTCGAGGAGACCAAGTGGGAGGTGGGCCAGACCAGGAGGGGCAGGGAGCGGGGCCTGCTGGGAAAAGGAGTCCAGCCATACCCACCCCCTCTGGCCTGCTACTCCTAGAGGACCCCCCCACTCCCCCCTCTGTGAGATGAAGCTCCCCCTCTGACCTTCCTTTCTGCGTGGGGGTCTCCCTGTGCCACCCTCGTGGGGCTCCTCAGCAGTCGGGTTTAGCGCTCACACAGCCAGTGGTGTTCCCACCCGTTGCCTCCCGACCAGTTAAGAATAAGAACGTAGTGCTGCTGTGCGCCGGGCACCGTTCTATGTCATATGGGGGGGGATCTTCTAATCCTCATAACAGCCCTGCCAGCTGGGTGTTGTTAACATCCCCGTTTGAGGAAACTGAGGCCCAGAAAGGCTGGAGCCCAGAATTACAGCTAGTCCGTGGCAGGGCTGAGATTTGAACTCAGGCCATCTGGCTCTAGTGTCCATGCTGTTAACCAAGACACCGCGGTGCCTGCCTGTGGAAATGTGGGCACTGCCCTCAACCGCACCCACTCCTGCACGGCCTGCCCCCAGCCTGTCCCCAGGGCTCGGTGGTGCTTCACGATGGTTTAAAGACACCTGCTCTGAAGGAGAAAGATCTGGATCCGTATTTCCCTTCAGCCACTTACCAGCTGTATGGCTCTGGACATATCACTAAGCTTGCCTCAGTGTCCCCATCTGTGTTACGGGTGTCACGATCAGAGAGCCTCTCCCCACATACCCTGCGTGATCTCAGGGCCTGACCCCCCGGGAGAACTCTTCTCACCATCCTTCTCCATTCCTCCCCCCTCAACAGGTGTGCCAGAAGTCAGGCGAGATCTCCCTGCTGAAGCAGCAACTGAAGGAGTCTCAGGCGGAGCTGGTGCAGAAGGGCAGCGAGCTGGTGGCGCTGCGGGTGGCGCTGCGAGAAGCCCGAGCCGCACTACGGGTCAGTGAGGGCCGGGCGCGGGGCCTGCAGGAGGCGGCCCGGGCTCGGGAGCTGGAGCTGGAGGCCTGTTCCCAGGAGCTGCAGCGGCACCGCCAGGAGGCCGAGCGGCTGCGAGAGAAAGCCGGCCAGTTGGACACCGAGGCCGCCGGACTCCGGGAACCCCCCGCGCCACCTGCCACCGCCGACCCCTTCCTCCTGGCGGAGAGCGATGAGGCCAAGGTGCAGCGGGCAGCGGCCGGGGTCGGGGGCAGCCTGCGGGCCCAGGTGGAGAGGCTACGGGCAGAGCTGCAGCGGGAGCGGCGGCGGGGCGAGGAGCAGCGGGACAGCTTCGAGGGCGAGCGGCTGGCCTGGCAGGCGGAGAAGGAGCAGGTGATCCGCTACCAGAAGCAGCTGCAGCACAACTACATCCAGATGTACCGGCGCAACCGGCAGCTGGAGCAGGAGCTGCAGCAGCTCAGCCTGGAGCTGGAGGCTCGGGAGCTCGCCGACCTGGGCCTGGCCGAGCCGGCCCCCTGCATCTGCCTGGAGGAGATCACCGCCACCGAAATCTAGGGCCCTCGGCGTCCCGGATCTGCGGGGAGCCTTGCCGAAGGGGGGGGGGGCGGGAGCCTCAGGTCCACTGAGGGCCCCAGAGCCGCCCGTCCCCCCACCCCGGGGGTCCAGGCCTCTGGGCCTCTGCCAAGAACTTGGGGCTGCCCTGTGACTCGGATGAGCAAGATCAGACTCCTCGAAGGTCCCCGTGTTCACTGTCACCCAGAGGTTCCTGCTCACTCGACCCGTTTCACTCCCCAGCTGCCGCCATTGCCACTCTGCCGACCGCATTCATCCCAGACGCCCGGGGTGGGTGGGGGGGACGGGGGGTGCTGGGAAGAAGAAGGGGTTCCCTCGTTTCCACACTCCCCTACCCCGAAGCCAGAGAGAGCCAGACAGTGCCAGCTGCTCCAGATGTGCCTGCCCCCACCCTGCCCGTGTCGGGCGACAGGGCTGGGACTGGGGTCTGACCCCCAGGTTCCAGCTCTGCAGCCTGTCTCCCAGGGTGAGGGGCTGTAGTCAGACCAAAGGAAGAACTCAGAAACGTCTTGTTTATTTGTGTTTGTGACCAAGTGGCCCCTCCCCACACCCAGGTTTATGGCCTCGTTTTCACTTGTATATTTTTCCACACTGTAAATTTCTTGTACAAACCCAAAGAAACAAATTAAAAATTTTTCTGTTTGTAAAAAAAGACAAGTGTGCTAGAGAGAGTTGATGGGAACTTCTTTGACCCCGACTCCCACCTCTTTCTGACCCCTCGTGGAGGTCTTGGGGAGAGAGAGGGTGAGGGGGGATGGATAAATCCAGTGGAAAGTGTGAGATCCTAGCGGACCACCACATGAAACGGTCTCCCAGGATTTGAGAAACTAGAAAAGCTTTCCATCCTATCCCTTGCACAGAACACTGCTTGGGGCTGGGGGACGGATGCAATGACCCCTCCGGGCCCTGAGAGTCCATGTTCCTCAGTGCTTGGGGGCATTAAAGGAGGCCTCATGAGAAAGGGCCCGCCAATCCCAAGCTCCAGACCTTGGCTTTCTCCCAACCTCTCCCAGTCGTGGGAGGTTGGGGGCAGTGCGAGGGTGACACAGCCTACCCCGCAGCACCTTGTCCTTGACACCAAGTTTATCTGGAAAGGGCAGAGCCTTAGTGACAGCGGGGGAGGGAAGAAAGTGGGGAGGTCTGCGCCAGCAGTGTGGAGCTCTGGGAGGAGGCAAGTCGAGGAGCAGTGAGACGTTCCTGAATCCCGAGAGGAGGGTAGGAGGGGAGGTCTGGGAGACAGCAGGAGGGTCCTGGGAGGCAACGGGAGGATCTGAGGTCAGTGGGAAGAGTCCCGGCATAGGTGGAGAGAGTCTGGGGTTAGTGTCAGGAGTCCGGAGGGGTCGGGGAAGGGACTGGGCTGGCGGTCCGCTGGAGGAGACTGGCGTCAGCGGGAGGAATCTGGGAATTGGTGGGAAGAGCATTTACGGGAGGTTCTGGGAGGCAGTGGGAAGGAATGAGTACCAGGAGGGGGTCAGCGGGCAGGGGAATGGTCAGCACGAAGGCACTGATCGGTGAGGGCTGACGACTCGGGGGGTAAGGGTTGTGGGCTGGGCCCAGGGACCCTGACCACAAGCTCCATGGGCTCCCGAGCCTTGTTTCGATAAGCTCGGCGGATGGTATCTACTGCTCGCTGGTGGGTCACCTGCTCCAGGCTCTCTCCATCCACCGCCACAAGCTCGAAGCCAGCCTGGGACGGGAGTGGGAAAATCACAGCCCTCCCTTCTCAGGTCAGCCCAACACCCAACCTCTCACCTCCACCAGCGAGGACACTCCTCCCCATCTGGGTGGAGGGGATGGACAATGGGACTTTTGTGCCTGGAGCGGTCGGGGGCAGGGTGAGACACGGACAATGGCCCTTTGTCCCTTGGGGCTAGGGGTGGAACAGGATGGGCCACCCTCAGGCCCAGGCTGGCGCAAGGGGACAGATTTTTCCCTAGGCTTGGTCATCTTGCAGTCCTGACCCCCATGCACCCAAGCCTCCTCCCATGGCCTGGCCTAAACCTGTCTGGCTGGAAGATGAGCATGTTCTAGCCCCACTCCCGCCAGAATTCAGCTCCGGGCCTCAGGAGTGGGGCTGGGTGCTCTTCACCCACCTGCAGGGCCCCACTGACGAAGGCAGCCCCCCCAGGGAAGATCTTTTCTATCTTCACCATGGGCTGCACCTTGGACTCAATGCCCCCAGAAATGCTGATGCCTGGCGAGAGAGAAGCACTGGGTGAACGCGCAGCCACCCCCCTCCACCCAGAGCTCACAGGAGAAACCCAGGACCCCAACAGCAAGTCCGGGCCCGGACTTCTCCCTAATCCCCATATTCTATTATTACTCAGTCCTCAACTCCAAAAATCCTCTATTCCCACCTCTGCAATCTACCCCCATACCCCAATCTTTTCTTAAGCCCAAGCCCCCTAGTTATAGCCCAAAACCAAGCCCACAGACCCCACCAAACCCAAGAGCCCCACCTGCCAGGCCCAGGCCCACCTGGACTCACCCAAGGACTGCTTCATCTTGGACAACGTGACTGTCCTCAGCTCCCCACCAGGGGCCTTCGTGGCTGTCTCCTCGGCTGTCCCACCAGTTCCATTCTCAGAGGGGCCTTGGTGGCCTCCCGCCTTGGCTGCCTGCCCATCCGGAGGTCGAGGCAGAGGTGGCCTGGCCTTCCGAGGCTTGTGGTAGCGCCCGTTGGCCACGCTCTGGGTGGAGATAGGTGCTGGAGACGGGGAGCGCCTGCGTCCTGGGGACTTGCCTCGGCCCCGGCTGCGGCTGCGGCTGCGGCTCCGGGCAGGGCCCTGGATCTGGCTCTGCCGCGGGTCCTCCAGGGTCGGGGGTTCTGTCAGCAGCCAGTTAGGCCTTGGGGGCCTGGGAGCCACGGGGGGTGGTTGCGGAGGGGGGGTGCGGGTGCTTGGGTGTGGGGTGAAGGCATCTACCGGCACGTCTTGGAGAGGGGGGATCCCTTTATGAGGGTGGCGGGGAGCAGAGGCCCCCAGGGAGAGCTGGAGGCCCCCCAGCCGCTCCCTCAGTTCCCCACCATCTTCCTCCTCTGAGAAGCCGTTCACAGGCAGCAGATAGAAACCTCCACGGCTATCTGGGGAAGAGGGCCGAGGTCAGGCAGGCTGCCCCTCCTTGGCCTTGCTGGTGCCAGGCCCCAGTCCTTGCCTTTGCTGGGGTAGGGCCTGGGGGACCCAGGCGTGGGTTTGCTTGGGCCCTGCGGCAGCTTTGCCACAGTGAGGGACACTGCCCGGGTTCTGTTGGAATAGTATTTTCATACTTTCCATCGCGACATGTGTCGTAGAAAAAATATTGCTCGCACACCACACTGGCAATTTCTTGGAGATTATTGCAGAGAGTGAGACTAGATTTCAAAAGTGAGTGGGTCTAAAACCAATTATTAAGGAAATAATAGTGTGGGTGGTGAGTAGAGACGATAAAAATGGTTCCGGTGGACAAGGGACTTCCTTCAGGGAACCAGACAAACTTCTGAAGCCTGGATACCCTACACGGGGGCAGGGGCAGAAGGCCCCTTTTCCCTTCCCTAATACCCCAGCTGTGTGCCCCCTCCCCAGGCTCTGGGACGCTTGACTGACCAGGCACAGGCGTGATGAGGTGACGCTTGGGAGGTGCGTCTTGCTGGGCTGGTCTCAAGGCAGGAGGCCACACTGGTGGGAGAGGAGATCCGGTCAGAGACGGGGGGCCCAGCGGGGGACACAGCTGGTCATCTCTGCCCCCTCTCCCCTGGGAGACTCCACTCCCATCCCCACCCGGGGCTTAGGGTCTACAGGTCCTACCCTCTCCCCACCGCCCAGCTGCTGACCTGCGCGGCTCTTAAGGGCCTCGAAAGCCTCCAGCTCCATGGGCATCACCATGCTGTCAAAGCGGCCCAGGTCCGTGGGGGCCACCACACTCCTGGGGAGGGCAAGAGATAGGGGGTGGGCAGGGGCACAGTTCTGGAGGTAGGGGGAGTTATTAGAGGGCCCCTTTCTGCCCCCCAGCCCTCCCCACACCCTCCGCCCCACCTGATGTCCCTCAGTAGCAGCAACTTTGCGGGCCTGTCCAGAATGGCCAGCAGGGGCCTCACCAGGTCCTCTACACCGCCCTCGTGCACATACTGCAGAGAGAGACCCAGAGGTCAGATAGCAGCACGGCCATCCAGAGCCAGGGGTGGGGGAGACGCGGGG